ACAGAGGCCATCAGGGGGCCAGTAAGTGCCCTTTTTGCACTGTGTAATCAGAACATCGCTTGGACAGTGGTTCTTTTTCTGACCCCCTTTCAGCACAGTTATAGGAGAAGCATGACCAATAAGATGGCCTCTAACAAAGGTGTTGGGGGTAACTACCCTGCTGTCTCTCTGGATGGTCCAGCACTGGGATATGGCTGAGCTTGGGGGTAGGGAGGAAGAAGGGATGACCTTGTTACCCTCTTCTGAAAGACCCCCATTCCTCAGCTAAACAGCTCTCAGCACCCTTTCTGGTCTTCATATTTTACATGTACATTCACAACAAGGAGAGACTCCCTCCCTATAAATATTTGGCATAAATAAGTCATCATCACAAGCTTAAAGAGCAAAAAACCTGGTGAAAGAAGTGACATTCATTGCAAAAGGGCTGGGGAACTCAAAGAGGAAATTGTTGAGATGTGTTTGTTCCCATCACCCAGGGGAAGAGTTAGGTGTGCCTTAAATCTTATTGGTGGAGGAACTGGATGATGCAGGAAACCCCTTGTGCCTTCAAGAATGCTAATATCACCAGCATGTGGGAACCCTCTCACTCTTCCACAGCACAAAGTAAGCAGGGATGCTAATTCCACGGCCCCCTTGGTGTTTTTAGCTTGGCTTGTGAGTGACAGAATTAACCCTTCAGACAAAAGGACTGGAAAAGAAGGGAAGAAAGAGCTTCCTAGTGGAGACACCAAGACTCCTCTTCCTCCAGGGTCACTAGCTCTCAAGCCCAGGCAAATGGCACGGGGTGGGCTTCACAGGAGTGTAGAAGCTGCACAAATGAACAGGGCATGCAGTCACTTTGGTCCCTGATTTGCAAAGAGCAGGAGCCCTACGTGATTGGCACCATGGTCTGATGTATCAGAGAGAGAAAGCTCACATTGCCAGATGCTGAACAGCAACTTTTTGTTTGTCCCTGTTGGAACATGCTTTGGCAAGACAAAAGAGAACTCACTGAATTTTCCACATACATGTATGGCCTGTCAGGGGGTTCTCTCTTGGGGTATCTGCTTGAGACCTGGAATGGAAAATAGGAAAACTATTGATGGCAAGTAAACCAACACAGAAGAGGCTTCGTAATGACATCTCAATTAGTCCTACACACAGGGAGTTTTCTTAACATAAAATATATATGGCCATGGGGAGGATATGCTCATGACACATGGTCTCAGAAGAGAAATTTCTGTGGTTTATCCTCGGATGCATGCTGTTGACCCATCTTCTATCTCAAGAAACCCACTCCTGTCCCCACATTTATAAATAAGGACCATAGAAAGATTCCAACCCAGGAGGGTCAGAGCAGAGCAGCTTAGACCTCATGGCCTTAGGATTACGGGATGAATGTAACAAGTTGCCTCATAAAGAGAGAGAGGAAAAGTACTATGTGCAGAGTTTCTACACTTCTGGGCTCACAAATGCCTCTCCTGGCTCTCTTTCTGCCAGCCAACTTGGCAAGTGCTCTGGTTAGAAGCATGGCTAACTGGTGGCAAAGAGTACCACTGGCCGGAGGAAGGCAGGGACCTGCATAGTGCTCTGTGACAACACCTTTCAGCCCGAACTCGTCCTTGCCCTTGTCCTGTGGGATTGTATGAATTTGCAAGGCTGTTCTGGAGCCACGGAGAAGGACCCGGAGGTGGATAGTTTTGATTCAGGGAGAGGGGAGGGTGTGGTACACAGATCAGGAAGGGACGTAATACTGCATGGAATGGGATTGGCACTTAATTCTCAAAAACAATAGTGATCAACAGCTTCTTAGCTCAGCTGACTGCAGACGAACACGAACACACACTGGACTACAGCATTTGTTCACTGGGACACAGAAGAGTTCTCGCAGCCGTCCTCCTCTTCCACAGGGTCCGCCCTTCAGGCCCTCCGGCCCGGTCCGGGTTACTGGATGAAGGGTATCCGCTCCTTGTTCTCACTGTCGCCCTCGTGGTCCTCCTCCTCTTCCCCCGCCTCGCTGGTCTCTGTGCTGTCGTTGGCCATCTGGGATTCAACAGAGGACGTTACAGACGTCTCCGCTCCCAGCCCCCACCCTCCCTGAGTGTCTGAGGAGGCTCGGTAAGGTAGGAAGAACGTCCTCAGAGAGTTCACTGACACAGGGGACATTGCACTCAAGGGCCTCTCCTCATGTCTTACCTGCACATTCACCACGAGGAGGGACTCCCTCCCATAAATATTAGCACAAATATGTCCTCTTCACAAGCTTAGAACAGGACACCAGGCAGCGTTTGATGGATGAGGTGAGGAGGCACATATCTCTTAGCTGTCATCTCCGTTCGTGATCAGCCCCTCATTTCTGGGAGCATTCCTCTGCCCAGGGCCCCTTAGCAAGCCCACATTCCCTTCCAACCCAGCTGGGTCTACACCTCATAGACCTTTAGTGCATCTCTTGTGCGGGGCTGAAGAATCTCTGGTTCTCACTCACCAGCGGAGTGGGGGTCTTTTCTACATCCAGAATTAACTTCCCGATGTTGCCTCGGTCGTGGATCCGCTGCATGGCCTCCTTCACCTGAGAGACAGAAGAAATGCGCGCTGGTTAGGGGTACAAGGCCCTGGTGTAAAGGGGGTTAGGGCAAGCCAAAGTGCCGGCCTCCCGCCAGGGGGCGCTGCAGTCCAAGCTTCGTGCCCTAACCAGTGATGTAGGTTGAATTTTGGGGTGCAAATAAATTCTCATTGTGCCATCCACACATTCTGGTCCCGTGCAAGAGTCTCGCAGGTCTCAAAAAATGATTTATAGATTTCTGGGATAAGTACATGAATTTTTCATCCAAAAAATAATAGGGGAAGGTTCTCTAGAGTTACATGACGCAGAATGGCGGGGAATGTCAGTCACACTAAATTTTGAGCAATAAAAGAATTCTGAAGGTCATTTGAGCCCTTCTGACCTAAGTGCTATATAACTCTGATTCGTAATTTGGCAAAATAAAGTTATTACCCAGGGCTAAACTGCACTCAGGAAAATTTCCATGATTCCTGGTTATTGGGAAGAAATTTCGTTTCCATCTAGGAGGAAGTCTCTTTCAGAATGAGTGTTTTCCCCAGAACAGAGAACCTGAGGTGTTCTTTCCAGTGTTGGTGGCTTGTCAGACCAATGGATGTCCCCTGGTCCCTCTGAAGAAGAGAGGGTGTGGAGACAATCCATTTGCTTTGCGCCCTTCATTCTGCTGCCGTGCACAAAGTGAAAGGTAGGGGGCGTTGTGATGAGTGAGTCAGAGGAGGAAAGGGCTTCCCAAAGTCCAACTTTGGCCTCCATGAATCAGTGAAATCTTAATGGAAAGGCAACTGCTCTGAATTTTTAAAAAAGAAATTTGTGCTGGATACGGTGGCACGCATGTGTAACCTCAGCATGCTGAGACAGGGCACTTGCAAGTTCAAGCTCAGGCCAGGCAGTTTAACAACTTCATGAATTTTGTGGATGTAGCTCAGTGCGAAGGCCCTGGATTCAATTCCCAGTAACACACACACACACACACACACACACACCACTATAATGGAGCTAGCCTAAATATTTTTCTTAAAGTCTCACGTTTTAAAGTATGTTCACTCAGCTTACAAACAGTAAAAGTTGCTTCTTGGCTAGATGCCATAATTAAAAAAGAATGAAATAGTAAGACATGGTCTCTGCCTTTGAGGAACTCAGCCTGTGGCTGATGGAGCAATATTTGCTTATACAAAAACCAAATGTTCTACTCGTTTGGATACAAACTTGATAGAACCACTACAATGTCTGTATACAAATTGCTTTTCTGGAACTTTATTCAAAAAAATAATTCAGTTTTGGGAAGGGGATATCACATCAGAGATAATCATTTTGCGTTAATAGCAAAATATCAAAACAACTTATATGTCACCGAGAAAGGAGATGGTTAAATAAACAATAGCGCTTACATTTATCTACTGAATGGAAATATTGTGTAGCTGTTGAAGAATAAAAAGATATATGTAACTAATTAGAAAGAATACAGAGCAGGATTAAATGCTTTTTGTAATATTGCTAAATGAGAAAACTGACACAATTTTATTTACATCTCTGCAAAACATGGCTATTCTAAAATAAGTAGAAAGGGATACATATATACATATGTACGCAAATGTAGGGAAGTGGGTGCCTTCTAAGTCTGCTGTCCAAATACTGTTATTTGGCATCATGTCATCAAATTAACATTTTAAATTAAATGTACTTTTAGATGCAGCCTTCAGATAACTTAGCACTGGTCAAAATCAACCTGTTTTATAGACTGGTAGTGTCCATGATTGTTAAATTTTCTGACCCTACTATAAAATTTAGTAGCTTCCTAGAGTTTCTGTGGTGACATTACTTTTTGAAGTTCTTTCACAGTATAACAGTGACTTAGTACGTAAGAGGTGTGATTAAAAAATACAGTGAAATGTTTACTTTTTTGTTTTTTTGGTGGTACCAAGGATCGAACTCAGGACCTTGTGCTTGCTAGGCAGGCACAGTGCCACTGAGCTAAATCCCCAGCCACTTTTTAAAAATTAAATTGAATTTATTGGTACATTCTAGGTAGACAGTACAGTTACATTCATTACTGGGATCTTGTACCTTTACATGCCAGGTCTTGGTTCTCATTTTTTCCCCTTATTCCC